GAGATAAAAAATTGAAGGTGCGTCTACATAAAAAGATGTACCCTTCAAAGTTACTCCTAAGCCAAAGCACGAAAATTACCCAAAATTGGGCTTAAGTAAGCAACCCCTGTTTAAAACATATGATTATTTATGTTTCATAAAAAAAACACACAGATTTTTTAAACAACAAATTTTTTGATAAAACTTGTGCTCAACATTGCTGTAAGAGCTTGAGAATTGTGTATGACCTACATAACTGTTAAACGCATTTGCGTAATACAATGAATTAACTTTAACCATGGTAAACCTTACCTTATGCCGAGTGTTCATTTTACAATTTACCCCCGCTGACTAACTTGTTTCTAAAATTTTAAGGCTGATGTACACAATTATTACAATTTACCCTAACTTCGATCCCTATCCTTCATGTTCATATAAAATCCAAATTTCAGGAACCTAGTCTGGAAAAATAAGGTTGGATACATGAGTGAGCAAGGAGCATAATGAATGCCCTCTAAATGTGGACTAAAAGTTCCAGAATCCAGGGCTTTTGGATAATCTTACAGCTCACCTACATTCATTAGAATCATGTTGTGGCTGAATTTGAGGCCTGGGTTTGATATGTAACCCGCTCAGAAAACTCATATTTTTTAGTACTTGAAATTTTTGTCACCTCAGAAGTTCGGAGCCCTCATAAAGTTTTTTTTTCACATTCACTAACGTCTGTTTTTTCATAAGGATAAATCTCAATACGGTAGAATGACATGCGTTATTTGGCAATTTAAAATGTGCACACGAATCAAACCGTGGTCATTAAATACGAATGACGCCTAAATCGACACAATGACTAAAAGGGTGGTAGTGCATTGTAATTATTTTAATTGCTTTGACAACACTCAGTTAGGCGGAACTCTCGTACCACATGTTGCATCTGTGTTGATAAAAATGCATGTACTTTATCGGTGCCAGTTCAAAATGTGGTTCAGTATTGGGTACAAAAAAGTTGCCAACGCCCTTTATCGAGTTTGAGACATTAATTTTTCTTCAAAATTGCGAGAACCAGCAAGTTAAAAGACACTTTGCTTGATGTTCTATTTGGAAGCGGAGATATTTCATACTGTGCAATATTTTGACTCTTAAGTAAACTGAAACACCACTCATAAATGAACTTCACGAATAAATTTACCTGGTGGGTTTGTCGTGCAAATAAAACCAAATATGTTGTTTTTAATTTTACGAGCACATATGAAAGCCATTACATTAAACATAACCCAAATACAGATATTCTAACTTTCACCTCGTGCTTGAAGTAAATTTGTACAATTGACGGGAGAAATGTTTAGTGGTGGTCTTGGATTCATCTTTGAAAGCTGTTAGATCTGTGAAATTTAGCGTGCCTGACAAACTGGTCACCCAGTGTGCATTTTTTGTGGCTTTTATGTTTTGTTTTTTTCTTAAGTGGATTCTCAATTGACACATTGAGTAGGTTGCTATTTAACCCAACAGTGATCGTCTCTCCCTATTGCTGCTTCATATCAGTTATTCCCGAATTCTTGAATAAAATGATTTACTTTTACCTGGAGAACAACAGTTTTAGGCAATAATGAGATTATAAATCTTGGGTTACCTGTTGCCCCTTTCACAGTGTAATGCTGAACTCATAAATTTTAGACATTTTTGAAGACGTTCTTCCATGAATACGTGCTGTGGAATGCGTGTGGCATTCAAGGTACAAAAATGTCTTCTGCTAAGGGTTTTCGATGAGCCGATTCAAGTCTATGCTCGTTAACATGTGCGAGTGTCAACAATTTGTCTTTTAAGGGGATCTTGTAAAAAGTTTGGTAGCACCTGGAGCATGATTCGTGCTTAGAGTGCCTCTCCTTGAATTACAATGCAATATCTATTTTAAACTCGAAATTCAAAAAAGCCTTTTTTGACAGTAACAACAACAATAGCACAAAAATTGTATATTTGGAATCGCATAATGCCTAGTTTAAGACTAGACCTTAAGTGATTACTATTTAAGTATAATTTTTATTCAGCGACTAGGCTTAAGTACCTAACATGGGTAATGTAAAACTGAGTATTGCGCAATTAATGAATGAATACAAAAGAGTGCCTTTCATGTCAATTTTATTTTAAATCATTCCTTCACTATTAAAAAACCTAATTAACGTGATGACACAGTGGCGAATTATGGGAATGCAACTTGGCAATTGGCGCTTCAGTAAGCGAGAGAAGCTGTTTCAGACTCATGTGGGCCGTTTTTTCTAGTCCCATCCAAATTTGTCGCAGATGGCCACAAGCCTGTATTTGGTTTTGAAAGTGCCGAAGGGACCACTCTGAGGCCAAAAATACTGTCCAAAATGCTACAAGTTTGCACGATTTGCCTGTCCGTGGTTTCAGTTTCCGTACGTGGTGGATGCAGAAATCAATTTAAACTCATTGCAGCGTCTTGAGCACTGGGATTAACCCATACGCTAGACCAATGGGTAACTAAAATGCGTTGCCACTTATATTTTGCTAACCTGGAGGAAATTAAATAAATCCTAGAGCATGGTAAAATGAGATTCTGCGTCGTGACAGGTTCACAAAGTCCGCGTCCACTTTCTTCCATCTTTATTAAATTAACTGTATTATTTGAACCATGCGGCTTCTTCAGAGCACGATAATTTTTAGGACAAACACATCCTCAAGAGACAAATGCAGGATCAGTTCACATTCGCATGTGTGTCACTTCTTGCTACATTGTCGAATATTCAACAATGCATACTTTACGCATAATGATGACATGAGATGCTAGCTTTCTCGTATGATATGAAATTGGGTTGGAACCAAAAGTCTGTAGTTCTCATCAGCTAAAATTTTGCAAACATTTATAGATTCTTGTGA